GGATAGAAACCTGTAGCATAGCAGCTGACTGGAGAGGAGGAAGACTTCTGGAGGAGAGACACTGAGGGAAGCTCTGAGGGATTTAAAAAATAAAAAAAATAAATCACAGTTCATACTGAGTTTACCATTTTCATTTGATGTATTTTGAATGTTTTAGACACACAAATTAATATAAATGCAGTTTAAAGAATAATTAAGAAAATGGTGGAATTACAAGAAGTACACAACTGAGTGAAGGGAGTGCTGTAAGAAGCTGCAGCGATGGTGATTAGAAAAGTAAAATAAACAGAAACTGGGAAAAATAAAAAGCGTAAATGTGATAAAGTGGTAATAAATGTATGAGAAGATCAGGATGTGGCTTGTTAATGAAAAGTATTACAATAAATCAGGTCATGTGATTTTACCTGTCCTCGTCAGAGAGCTCCTCCCATAGTTCACGTACTTCTTCAGCCACTCAGGACAAATCTGGGTGTGATATTTCCTCAGATCGCCTAAAAGAGATCTGTCTCTGTCCTACTTGAGTTTGGTGATTACAGCCTGCATTACTGCAGCGACCCATGTCGCTGACCTCAGGTCAAATGATATGAAGTCTTCTCCATCATAGCCATACTGATGATAGCCGTTAACTTCAGCCGTTTCATCGTCCCATTCACAGCCGTACATCATCTGGTTAATGTGAACACCTGAAACCAAGAGGGGCAGGAAATAGTTGATATTTGCCCACAGATGAGGGAGTTAGGTTGAAGAGCTTCAATAAAAAACTACATAAATAGACATAATCAGCTTTTTAAATTTGGCTGGTTAAGCTTCCATTAAGGGCGCTAACAAGCTAGCTTGTGTCTGTAATAGAGGTGGATGCCTCAAGACCACTTTTACGTGGTCTTGGTCTTGTCTTGGTCTCAACGAACTTTGGTCTTGTCTTGGTCTCGCTGTCTCTGTCTTGCTGTCTCAGATCGACATAGTGATTGTGTACCCATGACACACAAACCAACGTTCGATAAAGTGTCATGCACAAGAGCATCAGCCCTAAGGGCCGTGCTTAGAGAGTGCTTTGTAGTGAATCAGAAGAGTCGACTCCCATTGGGCGAGAGCCGGCTCCTCACTTAATTTCCTTTCGCTGCTCAGCTCTCACACAGTGGCTCAGCTATGCTCCAATCCCTCCATATTGTGGCCAATCACATGCGAGGATATAGGATAATATCATTATGTGAAAAACAAGAGAGGGTGAGAGACGTGACAGTGTTTTTTTTGTCTCGGTTTCGGTCTCGTCTTTGTCTCGGTCTCGATACCCTCTGGTCTTGGTATTGTCTTGGTCTTGGTTTAGGCGGTCTTGACTACAAGTCTAGTCTGTAACAACAAAGGTCTTTAACCTGGGGAGATTTTATTCAGTGTCAGCAGTTAGGTTAATAAAAAGCTTCATTTTAAGAGTAAAAAAGTGAAACAGAAACAAACCTCCAGTTTGGTTGAATCGCTGCTTCAAAGTG